CTCGGTCTTGGTCTCGGTCTCGGACTATCCGGTCTCGACTACAACACTGGTGTATATAACAACGCTTATTGAAGAGACGGGGTACCACGCATAAGCTAAAATATGGCCCATGAACATGAACACAAAAAAGGTCTGGAAATATCGCCGGAAAAAGTCACAAAATTGGAGCGTTTTAACTGTTTATTTCGTTAAAAAGGTATTTATTAAAGGGAATAACAGTGTGAGGATCCACTCTTCACTGTGTGACAATGACCGGGTTTGGGGGTGACCTCGACCTCGTCTCGGTCTATTAACAGCGGTCACCCCTAAACCCGGTCATTATCACGCAGTGAAGACCGGCTCCTCACACTGTTATTCCCTTATTATTAAACAATGTCCATACTTTCAATTTACATATCAGAATGCATTTTAAACCCCACCACACGAAGGCAGCTTGGGACAGTATCTTGGCGATTGTACACAAACTATGTAAAATGCAATTTGTATTTTGTTAGCTTTGTTTTGGAGTGACATTATGTTTTGCCGTTTCAGATTCATGTGTGACATAAAACTATTAACCGAGTCGCAATCGTTCATTTTGTGGAGTCGCAGAATGCGTTCTTACCACACTCTGGAAATATGCTGTAAAACATCAAGCTGACCTTAGCTTTAAGAGGTAAATTGCAAATTCGTTTTGTTTTTAAACTCAAATAGTTTGTACTGAACGAATCGTGGCCGCGCTGTAGGTGCTAGATACGGGCAAATTTAACACAGGTTGCTAAATAAATCATGCAGTTATTAAGAGCATTAACAGTACATGGAGAGCTGTACATGCATGTCAAAAAAACATTCCCGAATCAAACGGCAGATTTTGGGAAAGAATCAGGTTTATCTTCATAACAAAACAACTACTATTGAACAGCAACGACCTCGATTTAGTAATTCCTTAGTTTTGAAGGATAATTTACATAAAAATGGCATTATAAATAGTTGAAAGATTAACGAAAACTACATGCCATTGAACAAACAAAATTAGAACGTGTTTACATTTCCCGAGAAACAAGGATCTTTTGCCTTTCGTGAAACTAAACTGTTACTTAACCAAATAACATGTTTGCCCAAATAAATCCAGAATGACGTCAAACTACACTGTTCATTTCCTCGATGATCAAACTTACCTCCTGTGTGAGTGAGGAGCAGAAACAGAAGCAGTGAAAAGATGGTAAAGTGTCTGTAGTCTCCACCTTGAGACGCCATATTTGATTTTATCCCTTGGAAAATCTTCTTATAACAGGGATGACTCTAACCTGTTCAGTCCTATACAGTTCATGCAAGGAAGTACATGCAATGCTACATGTACCTCCTTGTGTATTGCCCAACAAACTGGTACTGGTATCAACTAATTTCCTCTTGCCAATTCAAATGGCAATTTATAAAAGAAAAAGGTCAGACTTTACACCGTACTGTGATGGTTATATTTACAGAGTACCTTTCGACAAACCTTATGTACAGTGCAGCTTCAAATGCACATTCACATCACAAGTGCATTATGTTTGGTTTGCACTGTTGATATTAAACTTACTGAATATAGCCTGGCACTATGGTAACTCACTGGGATCCCGGTAAGACTGGGTACTGTTGCATTCCGACGATAGCGCATCCAGGTGAGAGGGTCAGGGTAGGTAGATAACGGTTGTAAAGTGCTGTGACGCTTTCGATAAATAAAAAAAAACAATTGCCAAAACTTTGCCAGGAGACAAGTTAACGTTCACCAGGACATTCGTGCTCAATTTAATATTGATTAATTATTTATTCGCATATATATCTGTGACGTATCTAGGGTTGAACTTCTGAGGGAGCACCTGGGGTGCACACATTTTTCAAAGGGGGCGTGAGGAAGGGGCACAGCTATCCACTGGGAAAACACGCGTCCCCCAACCCTCGCCTCTCCCTGCCCCCTCCCCACCTCAGCTCCCCTGTGGCCCCCCTTCCCCTCTTCTGTAGGTACGCCACTGATATACTCCATGTAATATTAATTTAGAATAAAGAACAGGTCGGACAGGTTCCGAATCTAGGCTGAGTCATCGTGTGAGTTTCGATTAAATAAATTCTGCATTGGACTTGAACTGTACGTGTATTTTTTACAAGTTACATCCTGGTTGAAATGTTATGTAGTCATTTTTATCCCCTTTGACCCAAAACTGGAATAAACACAGGCAGTTTGTGTTTCGTTTTCATTCCATTTCAGAGTTTCTTTTTGATCCGGAAACCACAAACACAAAATTCCTCTTGATACTCAGATCCGTCTTTATAATCGGATGATAACTGTTCTTCATAAAGGACCACAAGTGTTTATGAAGATTTGAGAAAATAAAGGTTCAACGAGTAGCGTGATTCCGTTTCTCTGATGAGCCCCATTTGACAATAACAATCATAATTACAGCATAGCAAAGTACATCACCGATTTCAGTATCAATTTCAGTATCGAAAAATCTACTAAACCATCAATTAGAGACTTAATTCCCCCCCCCCCAAAAAAAAAAACCCGAGAAAACTCTTCGGGTTGCGCCCCCCCCCCCCAACACACACACACACACACACACACACACACACACACACACACCCACCCACCCATACTTGTTTCACATGACTAGTGTGGACTTTCCATTGCTTTCGTGTAGTTAAGAAAAACCAGTGAAAAACTCATTTTTCTCAAACTGTGAAAACTCTTTCAACCCAATTTTTTTTCTATGATTCCCTTTAGTGTTTCTCTTCATTCTGCTACCGATAAACCTAACCCAAAAATGCCTCTAAACCTGTTTTCCAGAAATGGGGAAACACTGTGTGGACGTGGGGTAAGTCCACACAACGTCGGTGCTACCTACATTATGTGGACGTCTTTTGTTCGGAAGTCCACACTGCGTATGTAAGACAAGCTCACCCACCCACACATCTTTATTCAAGTATATAAACACCGGGCGATCGTGGACCCACTATTTTCGCTAATCCTCGTTCCTTTGTTTGTAAGGATTTTTTTGAGGTAAAATCTTTTGTAGGATGCCCTCCTACTAAGTCTGCCATATTATTTCAACGTATCTTGCGCAGATCAGATAGATCAGTCGTCGACAGACCATCCGTGCTAAAAGGAGGCCTCACACCATCTTCCTATGATGGACATGACGTCTTTGACGTATTTTTTTTTTTTTGGCCGCTAAAGGTTTCATGAACACAAAAGCGTCGCCAGGGGAGGCTGATAACATATTCGCCGACGGACCATCCGTGCTAAAAGGACAACCGGCATCCGAAAAAAAAAAATCAAAAAAAGGGGGGGGGTGGACAATAATCGGACATTAAGGGGTGCACTTCATACCGGTGTTCCGTGAATTTAGGACTATATGAAATACGGACTCATTGGTAGTATTGCACATGCCTCAGTGGTGATGATTAGGAGAGTGACCGGTCAGTTGAGAGGGTTTAATCAAGGATTACGATTTTCTTAAAGTCCGATTTTCATATGACACCGACGGATGTTAATGGGGCAAACGGGGGTGTCACACCCCAACCCTCCGCACCCACAATGACTTGTAATAATTATACACTTGACTTGAAAATACAATACGTTAATTGTATTTACTTAATGATTACCCTGTGTACTTTAAAACCAAACAAAAACAAAACAGATTACCGTAGGCAATCATTTTGAGTTTTTTTTTAACAGTTACTTCCTGAATGAAATGGTATCAATGGCAGTGCGCCCTCTTTTGTTTTGTTTTCATTTTCAGATTTTTAATCGAGTAAAACCTCACACATGTTATACCGCTGCATTTTCACATCCTGTACAATTAGTCTTGAATGTCATTATTCCCATTTTAGAAGTTATATCAGCATCAACATGCAATGTAAGATGTTTAAAAGCATCTAGGACGATTCCGATGTTACAACAAGTCCCTTTTGTCCATTTTCATCAAAACCTCGATGATGAAATTTGTAAGTATCAATTCAAAGGCATGTTAGTCTACTAAACCATGTAAACTGTGCAGGGAAAAGGTGTGTAGATATACAATTTTTTACAGTCTTTTTTTCTATTCGCCACATACCGAAACAAAATATAAACCGTATATAATAAGTGGATTTTATCGTACACAAATGTGCACTTGATTTAATGAATTACTGCAAAACATGTGCATACGTTACTAACGTTAGCAAAGTTACTAACGTATCTGGCGTGACGGGCTTCTTTTAGAATCCTGCTGTTCGTAATATAAGTAAACATCGACTGATTTGTCCTGGCTTCAGTTCACGTCAGACTGAGAGTAACTATGCAGGCTTTGAGTAAACTTACTGTCTTTATAGCAACCTTTTTGATAGGAATTTTTACACAACTAGCGTCTGAGTAATCCTCAATATTGTAATAAACAAACGACGAAAACTAAGTGGCTTTTCAAAACAAATTTAAATTAAAAAAACGAGGTTTCCCAACTGGATGTGTTTAGATGAAAGCCCTACAGATAGAAAACTTTAAAAGAAAGGAGTTCAAGTTAAGAAAATGTGGTAAAAATGGATCAAATTGAAGTCTTGAAAAATACTTCCGAAATCTTCAAACCAGTGTCATCCCTTTTCCGCTCGTCAGTGATGCCGTGATATTTGTTTGAATCTAAAGAAAAGTGTTTCCTTCTCAAACTAAGATGTTGTCGACAGTGTAAATTGTAATGAATTTGCTTTAATATAAAGATATACGATTTGTACATCAGCGCTTTTATACGTTACTCTGGAATAGGACTGAGTAATGATATTGTATTACAAGAAAATATCTTGATATAATTTTACGGCTATTAATTTTTTTGTCTTTTTCTTTTCTTTGTAGTTATATTGTATTACAAGAAAATAACTTGAAATAATTTTTCGGGTATTACTTTATTATTTGTTTCTTTTGTATTGTTAAAAATAAATGCATTGTTAAGTTTAACGATTAGTCAAGTTAACTAAAAAGGGACATTTATGTACATATCTTGGATAAAAAAATTTATAACACAGTATATAATCTGTGTGTACCCCTGTTGAGTTTTCTTTCGATTTGAAGTTAAAAACCCAAACATCAAAGTGGGACATTATGTAACACAGTGAAGTATTAGTATCGCGTAAAATCATTGGTATGAGCACATCGTCCATGATTTGCAGCGAAATTTAAAATTACAGAACAATGTTTCCATAATTCTAGAATTTGTTTCATACAATTGATTAGATTTGCTTAATATCACGCCAGCACTGGGCGATGATTGGCTGAGCTGGCATGGGAACGATCATCACATTCATCTAGTTATCGTCAAACTCAGGCTTGATGGTGAAACTATAGTAGACAGTCGATGACAAGTAATCCTGTAAAATCAAGGTTAAAAGTACTAAAATGCATCATTGAGAACTCAGGTTATAATCCTTCAATTTAGAAAATAGTGTTAAAAATCCTATTACGATATATCCTGTAGTACCGAGTTATAAAAAGAGATTGATTTTCCAAAAAAAAACCAACCGTTCAATACAAATTAGTAGTCAAATGCACATATTGCAACTAAATAAAGCTCATCATTGGAGTAACGGGCACATTTGACATTAGTTTCCAACTATACGTACATTTGCATCCGGGTTGCAGTTCATTTCCTCCAGAATTTCGACTAGTTTTCTGAAACTGGGTCGGTCGCTAGGTTGCTGCTGCCAGCACTTCAACATCACATTGTAACTTGGTAAAATATCGAGGGGAAAACGATTATAAACTTAGCTTGGAGAGTGATCAAGTCAAACGGATAATATAATTTGAGCCATATAAAAAGATGGCAGCAATAGACGAGCTTGTGAACTATTAGAACACTTATTTATTAATAATTACTCCCTCAAAATCCGGTGCAAGTTTGACTGTCCCCAGTCAAACAGAACGGTGTTTTTTACAGTGCACTGTTCCAGGAGAATAGGCTTGTTTTCCTTACATTTCACCAGCGCAGTTTTCCGGCTTGGGCATGCGATATCCATCCAGCAGTCTTTGGGCCAGTGACTTGCTCTCAATACCAGGGTATGGGGTGGATCCTAAAACAATAAGTTATGAATAAGCCGGACTGCAAATTATCCATATCCTTTTAATTCCATCAGAAATGGAAACATAGATACAAAAACAAACTTGCTCTGTAGCTACTTATATTTCTTGGACGTGGACACTGTATAATTAAATTTTATAAAGGTATACGTATGAGTAAACTGTGCTCTGTTCAAAGTATCTTATTTGCTGCAGTAGTAGTAGATTTCAGATAAATGCTATCACTTAAAAACAAGTTGTGGAGAAACGCAAAAACACGATGAGAAGATGAGAAATGAAGCACCTACCGTACGTCACAATCTCCCAGAGCAAGATGCCAAAGGACCACCTGGATGGTGCGATTGAAGATAAAGAAGAGTAAAACACAAACCGGACAAAGTATCTTCTCCAAAACCATAAACACATGCCTCATCATAGGTCATAAATTAGCAGGATATAATTATTTACATAATTTGTTCAACTTACACATCGCTCTTGGACTTGTAGACACGACGCGTCAAAGATTCGATGGCCAACCAACGAACAGGAATCCTGGTCTAATGAACAAAGGAATAACTAAAAGTTACTTAACATTTTAAAGTGAAAATACAACATTTGCAAACATAAAAAAATAAAACTACCAAATCATTTTGAAATACCTTGCTGGACTGTTAGTGAATGACAGTGTAAAGCATCCTGTAAAATCATGGCACCTGGTATACTGTCATTTTCAAGAAAAGTGGTATTTTTGTATCATTTTCCAACGCTGATCGGCCGATCAGCCGATCAGCGTCGGAAAAAAACTGGCTTTTTTTCAAATACTGGCCGCAGTTGACCGTCGCACTTGTTTGCAATCGTTTACACACCTATGAACGGGTACAAGCCAGCTAGACTGGTTCCCTCACCTTACAATTCCCCTATATATGTAAACTGCTCTGTTTCTTCTTAAATGGAGTCAGGGAACCAGACTAAAGGAAAATGATTGTTTTTCTTGGTTTTTATAGCATTTTCGAACCCAAAACCTCAAAAAAGTCAGTGTGACTATATTTGCTATGTATTTCTAACCCCCCAATTCCATCCATTTCTGAAAATTACAGCAAAAGCAAATGATGTATATTCCCTTTAAATTACTTCTTTATCAATATTATTATACAAAAACAATGTCGTGAAAATTGTAGAAACAATTTTTTTTTGAATGTCATCTTAATTTACCGAGGATTTCTGGACATAGATGTCTTCTACTCTGGAAAGGCCAAAGTCAGACACTTTGGCGGTCAGATCTTCAGAGAGAAGGATGTTCCTTGCAGCCAAGTCGCGGTGGATTATCTAAATACAAAATTGTCGTTAATGAATTATTGTATTACAAATGTATTCCAAAGGATTTTTTTTAATCATTACGTCTCTGTATCCACTCAAATTTTAATCATTACTTATATACTAACAGCTAGTAAATAGGAACAAAATTGTGTTGAAAATTTTAAAATTACAAACGATCCAAACAGAATCCTCCTTTTCGTCTCCAATTAGAGTATATATGCAGAATCTAGTTTTTACAGCACATTAATTAAAAACATACATATAGTTTCTCCAGTTTTGAACGTTCGTTTTTGTTTATCTGTTTTGTTGAATGTGTGACTTGCCCCCGTGTTGGACAGATGTTCCATTCCTTTGGCCACATCCAGACCAAACTTGAGCAGGTTGGAAGAAGTCAGCGGCGACACATCATCTTGAGAGCCAGCTGCCCCTTGCTGCTTAGGGCGAGTACTCCTCAGATAGTCCCGGAGGTTGCCATTAGGTAGAAACTCAAGCGCCACGTACAGAATTGCTATCAACACAATGGAAACACATTGGTGAAACTTTCAAATGTTGTTCTTTGCATACTATTGTACCGGAAAGTGTAAGGACTTCAGTGCCAGTTTATTCCTAATACATTTTGTATGGTATTCCATTGCATGAATGTGGCTGACTAGCTTAGTGTCCAGTGGAGATGCTGCTTGCATGACATTGGTTGGCCTAGGCACGTAGCCAAAGACAACACACACTTATGAGCCCAGGAGTGCTCAGGCTCATCTTATAGGATAAGGCCTACCCCTTAAAGCCGATGAATGGGCTAAATTTCGCGGATGTATAGACATTCTATTGAGAAGAATCGGAGTGTTGAGTGGGTTTTTTTTATTAAAAAAACTACTTTCTTTAATACAACATGAAGACTCAAACTTTAATACATCTTTTGGGGTGGTATGTCGTGTAATGGTAAAGAAAATGTGAACAAGAAATACGGTCGGAAAACAGAATTGGGTAAATGTCTTCTTATGTACCTTCGTGCATGCATGCACCCAGTAGACCAACGATATTGGGATGGGGCTCAATGCCTGCCATTGTCTGTATTTCCTTTCGAAAATCATCCCAAGTAGAATCTGAAAAACTCCCTGTTCACAAAAATCATTGTACATTTTGTAAATTTAATTATCACTGGTGGTATCGTATCTTTTATAAGGTGAGTTTGTACAAGTGCTTACAGGTGTTTTTATCAGTATGAGTAATTTTTAAGATCAAAAATGATTTGCATATTAATTTGCGTATGAAGTTGCATATAATACAAAGACTATTTACTATATTCCAATTTATAATATAAATAAAAGTGACAAGTTTCTTTTTATAAGTTCAACATTTCAGACCGTCTTACCTTTCATTGTTTTGATGGCTGCTTTGGTGACTTTCCCTTTAATCTTCACGCCTCCTGCGCGTACCTCACCAAAGTTACCCTTACCAAGAATCTCATCTGTGATTATCAAATTGCCGCGTTTGATTTCCAGTTTAGACTCCCAGTTTGGAAGGAACCCAATACTCTCGTATGGAACGGGGTCGGTGTTGTCCTCATTAAGTGACTCCATTTTCTTGTTTTTAGATCTTGGGTTTTCAGAGAGAACCTTATAAATTAAAAAAGAAAATAAAAATAAAACGAAGATGATCATGAAACAACCTCCAAACCACCGTACGTAAAACATAAGTAGAAAATTAGTGGATAACTTTTATCAGGTTCTTGTTTTTAATTGAATAATAATAACACGAATTTCCCCTGAACCTCGACGTAAACTTAATTGTCATAAAAAAAAACATATCCTGGACTTATTAACAGTTCACGGTTATTGGAATTGTGTATGTTATTGTATCAGCTATACATGTATGATAATGACTTACCAGTTCGTCAGTCGCAGTTTGTGAACGACCCGTGCTACGTTTTTTCCACAGGATGAATGCGACGACGCCAATCACAACCAAGATGAACACGACAATCCCAAGTACAACAGCAGCGATAATAGGCCCTGAATTGGAACTCGCTTGCTCAACTGCAACAAAAGAGGTTTAAATAAAAACACATTCAATATAGTCCTCGACATCAAAAAATTATTGTTACTGCTAAACAATTAAAAATCTTACCTTTGATAGTCAGCGGCTCTGAAAATTCAACATTGGCCACCTAGATAATAAAGCCAAAAGAGTTTGTTAAAAGCTATGGAATAAATGTAACAATAGCAATATTGCGAGACTAAAAAAAAACACATCAAGGTAGAGACAAATCATTTGGTCAGTTATCACGGATCTCCAGTATAACAACAAACATTCCAATCCTAAAAATAATTCAATTGATGTGAGATTCAAATTTCCAGTCTCAGGAAAACTCATTCCAATCTTGAACATGGAATGAAAGCCAATTTGCCGAATAACTTCAGGCACAATAGCTTGTTAGTCAAAGGCTGTGCGTTTGGGGGAGCAATTGAAGACAATTCTAGTTTGTGACCCTAACCCCTTGTGTGAAGAATACTACTACATTGGGGAATTCAGGACCAGTCGGCAAAAAACCGTATATTTTAGTTTTGTATTAAAACAGAAGCAGACGTATCAAAGCACGTACCGATTCGTTGCCCTTACTGACAGACCCAACACGAATGTTGTACACAGCACTCGTCTGCAGCGGAGCGTTAAAGTATCCACCGTACATTTTGGTGTCCCCCACTACAAATTTGTCAGGCACGCCCCCTTTGGGGAGTTCCGCTGCTATGTAGTCATTGGGGGAATCTTCGAAATGACTTGGAATAAGAACATCTCTCCTGGTCACAGATGAAGACCTGGTCTTCTTGACATGAACAACGTACGATCTGCAGTATATGGACGATTAGCTTAATTTGTTACATTTTATACAAAAACTCAAAATGGGTTATTTAATTGTATTTTGATGGCACATATACTGTAAAATTAGAACTGCAAACTTCAATAAACTTTTCAAAAGGAAAGGAGACCAATGAAGATATTCATTAAAGATATTCATTAATGTTAACAATGTTTGTCGATTTCTAAAATTCACACCTATAGAGAAAACTGAGGTGACATGAATTGCACAACATCTGCCCTGGTTTGAATTTTGGTTAAAATTTAAATGGATGATGAAAAGCAGTTTTTATTTTGCAGGATAAGTGTTACACAATATTAACATATATATTTGATAACATTCTGATTCTATTAGCATTTGATGCATTCCAACAAACCGAATGCAGTCCTGTATGGTACTCACTCAATGAAGTCATCACCAGATACTGTGGTAGTTATGCCAATAGTGACGGTAGTATCTGTGGCGTCTCCTTGGTATGAAATCGGTTGAGGCGGTGCAGGAAGATCTATGGCACAGTATAATTGAAATAATCGTTAAAACCTGCAACAGCGGAGAACGATTTCAACTATAAAATCTATGGAGAACCATACTTGTTGGATTTTACCATTTTACAAAATTAATGACAACTAAATGCTCTAAATTGTTAGGCTTTTTTTCATACTCTGAGATTGAATCTGTTTGTATGGGTTGTTTCTTCCACTGTTATGACAAAATATTATTCGTTATTACATGTACAACATAATTGCATTGCCTTACCTGATTGTGGTTTGGTGAAAACTTCCAAGACTGTATCACGTCCTATGAACAACTGATTCTCCGCTGCCACTCTGAACTCATACTTTGTACCAGGCTCCAGATGGTCTTTCACAAATGGCGGACTCTCCACTTCATTCCTTTCGTATTCGTCAGGTGCAGTGAAACCAGGTTGATGAGGTTTGTCTGTCGCTCGGTACGCAACCTGCGAGGTTGAAATGTAGGATTTTGATGAAAAAAGTCACGTTTACTATGCCTTTTCTGCATTCGATGAGATAGTGTATATTAAAGGCAGGGGATTTATTATCCTCTATATCACCCTTAGCAAAATAACTTCGAAAGGTGAAAAAGGCAGTAACAGGGATTTCATGGAAGTATGAATATATTAGCGAGACTAATACCTTGCTAAGAATAGAATAGGCTCCTACTGTTACTACCTAACTACCTTTTACGTACGTGTTAATATTAATACTGTAACACAGAGTTGGATAGTCTGTAATAGAAAAGTCACTTTCTAAACGTTTAACTCTGTAAATCAGACTCGCATATGTCCCTCACCAACATGGTACATGTATATAATATAAGTAAGGTCTCCATACGTACGACCAAAGTGATTTGTATTCATTTCTACCAAGTTACCACCAGGTTATAGCTTATTTTCTCGGAACACCTGTTCTAGACTTGACTAGTGTTGTTTGCTTTGCTACTGAAGAGAAATAATAAAAGACGTACTATGTATCTTTGTATTTGCCCATTCGGATTGAGCGGCGGCTCCCAGTCCAAGGTGATTGTTGAATCAGTTCTGTCTGTCCAATGAAGATTCCGGATTGGTCCAGGTTCTGTAAAAAAACAACAATAGAGATAACGATTTAGCTTTAAATGTTTAAAGTTGAATCTGTGAGTTAGATTTCGGCATCTGCCAATTAAATAATTAGTAACTCCAAATACACGCAAGATTTTGCTGATCACAGACATAGCCGAAGCTGTACAGCTGGTTTTGTTATTTACCAAACGTGTCAAAGTATAGGGCGTACAGAATAACTGATATGAGCCACTGATACCTCGTATTCTGGTCACTGCAGTGATTTCAGTAGTCCAAGGCCCTGCACCAACTGACGTCTCGGCTTGCACCTGGTACAAACACATGTAATGTTTCCCTTCATAGACGAACCAACAAAAACGAACCGAGCAATTCGATGTACATGCAGTCAATACATTTAAGGCACATAAAAAAATAGATTTGTTGTATAGGAACTTCACTGCACGTTGTTTCCGAGAGCCTCAGGTCTGAATGTTTGTATTATATGCAGTTGGGCACACTGTCACTTCTACAGCGGTGGCCCCCGTCAATGGCGAAAGCTAGCTATATGCTTTGTACAGCATATATAATGGTTTTATCAATTTAAAGTAGCCTCATTGGGTGTACAGTGATCACATGCCCGGATTCGTCATTGAATGCAAGGATTAAGTAATCAGATTGAATCCGTAAGTGTTACACACGTCAGGTAGAATTTAAACAGACCTGCAGGAAGGGCAAGGCCAGTTATCTTATGCATCAATTGCACCACGTCGTTGATAGGTGTTGGGGATCCTGACTGTCCACTCCTCCAGTACCTAACGTTGTAATTGGTGATGATTCCTTGTAGAGGGACGGGCTCTGACCATTGGAGAGTGATGGATACGTCATCAACGTTCTGAATGACGACATTCAAGGGTACTGTGGGCTCTGTTGAAGATTGTAAAAAAACTCAAGTATCTGATCATGTTCGAAATGACCAAAAACAGTAGTTTGATCCTACAATAATTATGAAAACTCGATCAAGGGTTTGGTATTTGTAAACTTACTTGCTTCATCAGTTCTCTGAACCTTAACGTCACTGTAGGGCCCTGCCCCAGTACTGGTGTTTGCGGCAACTTGAAAACTGTAGTTAGTGAAGGGGATCAAGCCATCTATCTCAACTTGTTCGGCTGTCGATACATTTAAGATGAGTTGTGATCCTGGTCCACTCAGTTTGTACGTGTAGCCTGTGATGATGCCTCCTCGACTTCCACACGCTGGCTGACTCCAGGAGAAAGTCAGGCTGCGTTTCTGTGAAGTGACGACAACTTGCTGTGGTGGAGCAGACGGTCCTTAAGGTAAATTATTGTACGAAGGAAAAATGATTCAGATAAATCATTGGCATTGTTTGAATGTGCCAGCCTCAGAGTTGTCAAAGTTATGGGTTTACTGAAAATGGTCTTACCTTTCGTGCCAGTTGTAACACTAATTTGCGACGTTGGTCCGTTGTTTCCATCTACATAAGCTTGGACTTGTATGATATACGTCGAGTAAGCGACCAGACCAGGTATTATTGTAGAAGTAGTTCCCGAACACATGCAATGCTGGATGTATGTGACCGGAGTGATAGGCTGACAACCATCTCTGTCAAGGAGTGCATAGTGAACCATGTAGTTGTCGGAACAGAGTACCTCACGCCAGCTCAATGTAACGCTGTCCGAATCTACGGACGTAATCTTCAGCGGATGAACTGATGTAGGATCTGAAAAAAAAACCACATTGGAATGCAACAAAATTTATGGCTGAAAATATCTTCCTTGACAACATTAGAATGAAATACATTCGGACAAATATTTGTCAGTGAGTTTTGGGTTAAATAGGGCAGTCTTACAATTACAAGCAGGGGTAATGTCAGTTTAATTTGTCTTTGCATAAACACAAATGTATGATTTATCGGCTATGATGCAACAGATTATCACATTTTAATCAAATTCGAAAGAATTGTTTACCGTTTCTTATCAATGTGGTACCAGATGTCGACGATTCGGGTCCCTGCGTACCACTGTACTGTGGGCGAATGTAAACCATATAAGTTGAACGAGATATCAAACCAGTGATGACATGACTGGTAGTTTGACCATCGAGTGGACCTGGAAGTGATACCCGCTGTGGAGATTCAATCTCTTCGCATTGGCCCCTGTTTGTCAAGGCATACTCCAGTATGTGGCCAGAGACACATGGATCTGGTTGCCAGGAAACTTGTAGTTGATATGGAACGTCGGAAAACACCTTTAGCCCCAGAACGCCATTGTTAGCTGCAATTAAATGAATTGTAAAACAATTACACCGAACATTTAAAACGTTTATATTACAATTTGGAGCAGTTGTTAGAATAATTTTAACAATATTTTTGTGTGCTGTTTTACCCATCGCCTTCCTCGAGAGTGTGCCATGTCGTAATCATCTGCACAAACTTCTTTAATCGTGCTTACTAAGACTATCTGATGCTTTTGTTGTTTTGTTCGTAACTTCCATCCACTTATCAGTAACATCTGGGTTAGAGTGTTTGTGACTGAAAAGATTCAATGAACTTACGAGAGCACTGGCAGTTACTTCCAAAGTATGGTGGTATGCAATCTGAAAGGAAGGATAAAAAAATGTGTCAGTTTATCAGATGTAACGTATATATATACACATATACATTGAATTTCACATTGTGTCCTTAAAAGTTATCTTTACTATTTATTACTTTAATTATATATTAACAAATATTACTTTATCAAGCTTCAGTGCAATTCAAATCCACATTTCTCTTACTTCCAGTACATTCTCCTGTATCCTTCTCGCAGGAGTCGTCAGATGGACAGTGACATGTCTGCTTACAGTCGGCTCCATACTTCCCTTCACTACATTCTAAAGTCAAAACAAAAATACTCAGATGAATAAAAGTTGGTATCTTTGGACATAAAATAATTCATTCCTAGCATATGGGACGAATCAGCAAGGTTCAACATAGACTAATTGGAAAGAACATCTCTGATAAAATCAATATCAACTGAAGGAAAACCAAATTAGCAAAAGAGGAGTTAGTTTGTTGGCAATATAATTATCAACAAGTACCCAACACGAAATAGTGGACAAGATATGTTGCCAATTCCGTATCCTTCTCACAGAAATCTCGAGATGGACAGTGACATGTCTGCTTACAGTCGGCTCCATACTTCCCTTCAGTACATTCTATATGCGAAAACAAAAATACTAATGCGGCATGCCTTATATACGGGAAGAAAACATATATGATCTTAAAACTGTACACTTCAGGGAAAAACAAAATTAGCAACATTCAAAGTGATTTTTGGGGCAATCTTCAGACCCGGGGTCTAAATATAGAAACCAACGAGTTCCCAGCACAAAATACTACACACTATTTTGATAATTCCTAATACCTTGCATGCAGTCTGGTCCCATATACCCAGCAGCACAGGAACATCCGTAAGGATCAGGAGAACAGAACAAACGACCCCGGCAAGCGTCGTTGTGTGGATCAGCGCTATCAGAACAGGTATGACTAGCATTCTGGCCAAAGACGTGACGCCCGTGAACTGATTGCAAGTGAACAACAAATCCGGAATTATGTCTATATAAAATCAACATTTTTGGTAGTCTGGTTGGTGTGGCGGTACCTTCCTTGCCTTCCACCGCTGTGATCCGGGTTCGAATCCTGCCTGGGCCAATATGTGGATTGGGTTTTCAGTCCCTGAAATTCCCTTGATTGAAATTCCCTTGATTCCGTGGGTTTTCCTCAGAATACTCCTCTGGGCCTTCCTCCCACCTCTAAAACTGTAATTTCTTCACATTGTCTTCTCTTTACTGGGACACATGGGACCTCAGTGGATTCCACTGAGTGAGTTACCCGGTTAAAATAAGAAATAAAATAAATAAATAAATTGTATATGAATAAAATGTTCACCATTAGTACCAAATAAGAAGATAATGAATTGATACCTTGTTGACAATTTTCTCCACTGAATCCTGGAGGGCAGATACATGTTCCCGTCTTGGCATCACAGATACCTCCATTGTAGCATCGACGACAGGTGTTCTGACATGAAGGTGGGCCCCACATACCAGCTGCGCATTCTGAATGTTCAAATTGCACCAACAAACAAGTCATTTTGATGAGCAAAAAAGTAAAAAGGTGATATAAAATTATCCTTTACATTTCCTTGAGACATCTTTTTTACTTTGCCATTCATATATTTAACTGTATTTTAGACGTAATATATTGTACATTATTATATTAAACAAAATGTTACTATAAATTATATGTTAAACTAACATATGTCGAACATTTAGATGTCAAAACTGTGCATGTGCTAAATAGTATTTCTTATAAGCATCAGGGGCAATGTGAGGAATTGTTGTCCGCCAACCTGACAGTAAATCTGTTAAATTTGTTATAAAAAAGTTAAGAATTCCATATTTTTTTTTTTATCAAACACTGCACAATTTGGAAAAAATTGCCAACTTTTGGAATGTTTCACGGTACATTATCTTTACTCCATTCATAAATACAATAACATAGTGTGCATGTCTATATGCAAATGTTTTTCAGAAATGTGGGCCTAGTACAATACGGTGTCGATCCTTACACATCCGATTACACAAATCGAAGATTGGGCCCAAAAAATAAGAAAACAGCGAACATTTACCTCTTACGATGAGTCTGATAAAGCCATGGAGTTGCTGATCTTCTTCACCATCTATGAAGCAGCTGTATATTCCCTCATTGGTCTTGCTGACATTCCCGATAGCCACGCTCAGCATGCCATCCCATTCCTGCACGCTGTCTGCATTGTGCTTCCATCTGTAGTTGGTGTTCGGTGAATTCACACTCTCCATCCGCAGAGTAACAGACTCTCCAACACTTGCTGTCTGTGTTCGCAGGAGAGGACGTGTGTGAATGGTGCCTGGTGTAGAACAAACTAACAGAATGATAGCCGGGCAATGAACTACAATGTAAAATGCTTCAGATCTAATACCAATTTTCCAAACATTTATTGAGCTTGCTATAGTTGCGCGAAAGCCTGTTTGGATAGCGGAAGGGGGTTCAACGAAGCTTTTAACTCAAACTAAAAAATAGAAATAAAAGATACTGGTCAATGGAATCTAATTTGTTCAGGCCTTTTGAAGAAATGTAATCTTTTTTTTTCATAATAAAGCCCTGAATGATTAAGGATGGATTCGGTTATCGGTAAGGTCCGACACACCTTCAAACTTTAGAAACACATGCACGCGTAATGTTGGTCAATGTTTTGAAATACAGAGCATAGGCCTAATACGTTCACTGTCGATTTTAGATCTTTTAAAAGAGTCCAATACATGCCTTCAATCACAAGACTAGTAATTTCCTGCAATACCATTTGAATGGGATATTCCTAACTTCACGAATGTTTAAGTCCGATTTATTTCATAACAACAACAAATAATCATTCAAGGGAAAATGACTAGCTGCAAACGTAGACATTGGATTGAACAAAGCAAAAATTGAACCCCGACCAGTCTTGAAGCTGCGACTTCAAGAAGATTTACGATCCAATCCCGATTCAGTCAATATTCTGTGCTCAATTTTATCCTTTTTAGCTCTAATACGTTGTTATTTTGAAGAAGAAGGGATGTGTACCATCTTTGCGTAAGATCACTGTGCGTATCGTGGTAGCCATGCCGTTTAGAGCTGCAGTGCCGTAGAAGACACCTGTTCTGCCAATCCCACCATCTTGTGGTAAGCTAAGCAACCTGGCTGTACATCCCAAGTTGGCATCATAAAACCCAGACGATCCTGCAGGAAGGTTGTCATTGCTCCCTCCTGTCGTCAATTGGCGACCGAATGAGACAGCAGCGGCGATGTCTGTCGGACTTTTGTAGGCTGCTAAAGTTGCATCGTTGTCACCTGTGGATCCAAGCCAAGCAGGATTGGCAACCAGAGTAAAATCTACACCGCCTACTGCATAGAAAAACGAAAAAAAGAGGAATCTACAAGATATTAGATGTTCATTTGTAATGTGATCAATTTTAGGAGATATGTTTTGGTAAATTATTATTTAAAAATGTTTAACTAGTTTGCTATTCCGATGTTATGGGATGTGATGCCGCAGCTGTCATTGACTTTAAAAACCAATTTATGGTGGCTCTATAATTGAGAACGTTTATGCACAATTTTCAGCATAGGAACTTTTGCACTCATGTGCAGATTCATTCAATTCACTAAGTGGCAAACAGCTGAATTAAGAACTCGCACAACATTATTCAAATTGTTTTTCCACATTGATTAAAATTGATTACCTCTCAGATATTATGATTTTTTTTCAAATCAAAAAGATTTCAACAAGTACAAATGTTACATAAAATACAAAATTAATTGGATTTGAAAAAAGGGCTTGACCCTTACACACAAGAGCAACATGTATAAGCTAAGATTGCAACATATTAATTGGCACTCTTGGTAATTCACTAAAACAAACAAAAAACAATTAAAAATGTTAAATGTTGAATCAAATGTGAAGTTGGGAATCTGCGGTAGCTTATTTTTTTCCGGCAAATTATCATTCTGCGAAATTTTGGAGAAAGTGAAAATATATCGTTAACCATGTCATTGCCCTTGTGAATATCCTAAATAGTTCAAAGCAACATAACATAGGACTTTTGTCTTTGCTTGTGTCGCAAACAAAGTGGGAATCCTTGCAGACATAATGTTTATCCATCTCACCTGCAACGGTGGAAGTCTCCTCAGTGTCTTGGATTTCCTCCACCATGACTTCGGCCAGACTCAGAGCAGTATTTGTAGTTAGTTCCACACTGACGTATCGAGCGGAGACGATGGGATCCGCGATGAAATCAATCACTGCTCCGTTAGTTGCCTGAGAAACTGTGACTTCGTCTCCTATCTGTGTATTCTGCGAGAAATCTGCTGGATCCAAACCAGCACGCACTACAGCACCTTCCAATCTGTGCCCTGCAGTAATTTGTAAGGCCGTAAAGTAATCGGAATTATTTTGACTCATGGGTTTTGCACTTCCCTGGTAATTGAAGACCCCAAATAGTATATGAGGAGTTGAATATCACTTACATATAGCTATAATAAAGTTAGATATATTTAAAGATTTGTAATTTTTCTTTATCAAACTTCAACCGGTTCGTCGAAGTGAAACATAACGGTATGGATTTTTTTGTATTAATACCACACCTAAGTTTCAGGAAGAATTAAAAATGAATTTACGGGGAGCTCACTGTATTAAACATTTTGCAAAATTGATTTCCGACATTAAGCTTTGGTGCAAATGCCCACCTGAATCAGTTCGGCTGAATTGAATTAATGACAGAATTGCATCGTGTCTATGTTTTACACAAATTCTAACCTTACTCTATCAGCAAAATACCCCCATCTGGAAACGAATTTTTGACACACTGCGATAAAAACTGGATTGATAGTGCTGAACGTTAACTCCCAAAAAGTAACATGTTCTTTTCTATAATCGCCGAACGCGGCTTGGAAGACATGCATAGAAAACTTACCATAGCCATTTCGGTTGATTACTGTAATTTTCGTCAAGCAGTAGATAGCCTCAAGATCTACTCTCCACCATTGATTTGGGGCAAAATCTGTAACATAATTAAAACATTTGTCTACGTTGCCTCGTTTAGAGAAAAAGTGGGAAAACTTTGTGGCGACAAACAAGTGTTTATCATACCAAATTAAATGAGATTATCAAGTTTTTTCTTCAATATATTAATACGTAACGTGTTCGGCATGAGGTACCGTCGGGATATGACACAAATCAGGGCAGTATTGTAGTGTTATAAATAATATTCACAGGCATTTATTTTCGACGGTTTCGATAGTAAAATGATACAACATTAATTAAATTATACCAATATTGAATGCTTCGAGTGGTGTAGTAAAACTAGCCTCCTGGGGTGATCCATGGACATTCTATTTTTCCGAGGCGAAGCTCTCGGCCAATCAAGACACAGAATCTGTGGTTGAGGTGTTATAATACCTAATATTCTATGAACCCATTTTTACCACTTATTTATCAACGGAAATCTCCTTTCTTGGCTTACATAATCAAAGCCGATAATACAACACGTCACAGATCATCCCTTAATTTAATTATAAAGGTGATCGAGGTTGAGATATTGTGTAACCCCTGCAATGCATTAAGGGCCTGTCACACTATTGCAAATAGACCTAACGTGTGCCCGACTTTTTGGAAATTTGGTGTACGTTCGTGTAAGTTGTCATTCGTGCGTGACACGTTTGGCAAAAGTTGTATTCGTTAGCGGTTCGTAGGGGTTCGCAGAGGTGGCTGGGGTCTGGGAAATTTTTTAGCGGGCGACAACTTAGTGATCAATACGCTATGTTCGTTAAGCATTCGCTGTGCAAACCGTTTCGCACGTTGGGCGTAGGTTGCTTCTTCGTCAGCTGTTTGGACATATACGTCCAACCCAAGGATCTTTGTCATATTGCGAATGCCCAACATATACATAGAGTATGTCTAATAACGAATGGCTGACGAATGTGACGACGGGGACTTGGAGAGCGTAATTACGGGTCAGCGGAGACACGTCACGTGACCGGCCGCAGCACGCTAGGCATACGTTGGCCGTTCAGCATTCGTTGGATGGACGCTACGCATGTGCTGTCATGCGTTACTATGGACGCTAGTTATACGCTCAGCATTCGTGTCTCATTCGTTGGGTATTCGTCTTTACGTCACGAACAAAAAAACAGATTTTGGAGGAGAATTGGAGTGTATCTGGACTTTGCCAAATTTTGAGAAAAAAATCAGTATGCTCGGGCATAAGTTAGCTCTATTCGCTACTATGTGACAGGGGCTTAAGCTATTAGTTGTGATATGATCGGATAATGCAACGTTAGCAAAACGGTTGAGAGGGGGGGGGCGGGAGTTTTGAAGGGGTGGTGACTAATGATATGATAGTCCCTCCCCCGCTTATAAAAGTGAGGGAGTACATATTCCGCCGTTATCACCCTGATAGACGCAAATAATTATTACACGAGGTTACAAAGAAGGGCACCCGTTTTTTAAAAGAAAACAACTTTTTACTTGTGTGTGAAATGGTTGTCGGATCGCCATCTACTGCATTCTCTGGAAGCGCATCAGCTGCAAACGTTGAACTCTGACTAGTCGGCTTGTTCCGCAGATTGAGGGCCAGACCTGTGTTGAATGATAGTATTAAACAGTGTCCATACTTTCAATTTACTTCAGAATGCAATTTAAACCCTACCACACAAAGGCGGTTAGGACAATATCAAGGTGATTGTACACGAAATCTTTGTACATATTTTGTGGAGTCACAGAGTACCTTCTTAACACACTCTGGAAATACGCTCTAAATTAGTGGATCTTGCATCAAACTGACCATAGCTTCGACACGCAGATTGCAAATTCGCTTTGTCTTTAAACTCGAATAGTTTCTACTGAACAAATCGCGGCCTCGCTGTGCTAGAAGCGTTTGTCAAACTTACCTCCTTTGCGATTGAGGATCAGAAACAGAAGCAATGAAACGACGGCAAAGTGTCGAAGGACTCCATGTTGAGACGCCATGTTTGATTTTATCCCTCAGGAAATGTTTACAAGACAGTACATGAATTAACTTTTGAAGTCCCAAACAGTTCGTAACTATTCCAACTTTGTCTTGCTGTCTGCTATACTACATGTACTTCCTTGTGTATGGCGCAATACACTGTTACTGGCGTCACTATAATTTCCTCGTGCCTAGTGAGTGTAATATAAATTTCCCAGGGATAGAAACGGACTTTACACCGTACCAAAAGCAATATTTACAGAGTACTTTTCGACAATTCTAGTTATAAGAACATTGTAGCTTCAAATGCACATTCACATTACAGCATTCTTGGTCTGCACTGTTGACAACTTGTTGAAAAAAGCCTAGCAGAGCAATGACTGGTATCCCGTATGACCCAGTTTATTCTGACAATAGCGCATCTAGGTTTGGGGATCAGAGGAAATGTACAGGACTATTTGTAAAAGTGAGGGGATGAAAATATTGGTTGTAAAGTGCCGTGATGTTTTCAATAAAGAATACATTGAAAGAAATTACAACAAAGGGGACAAGTTACCCCTCAGCAGGCCAATCGTGCTCGATTTAATAGCATTTATATGCTCAATGAAGAATGATTTATAACACAAGGCAGGCCGGGCAGATACCCAGTCCACGTTGAGTCATTATGTAGTTCTTTCTAAAAATTTAATTGTATTCCTTTTTAATTCTTTTGTACCATGCAGTTGCTTCCTGGTTGAAAAGTTAAGATGTTATTCAACACCCTTTGACCTAAACCCAGAATAAGCACAGCCAGTTTGTGTTTCGTTTTCTTTCCGTTTCAGAGTTTCGTTTTGATCTGGAAACCACACACAAAATACCTCTTGATGTCCAGATCCTTTTTATAATTGGATGTTAAGCAACAGACCTGCTCTTTATAAAGGACCATTTCATCCCTTAGGAAATGATAAGGAGGGGTTGAATATAACGTTTGCAGATGGATCCGATGCCGTTTGTACATGCCTGCCTGATACAACTTTGTCTTGCACTCTGCAATGTTACATTATACTTCCGTGTGTATTGCACAAGACTGTTTATGGCGTCACCTTATTTCCTCGTGCAAAGTCAGTATAATGTTAGTTTTCGAGGGATAGACCCAGACTTTACAGCCAGTATTGGTTCGTTTTAATTGATTTTTGAGTTTCGGTTTGATCCAAATTCAAACGCATGAGATACCTCTTGATATTCACATCTTTATTATGTGATATTAAGCTATAGAACTGCTCTTTATGAGGGACCACGAGTGTTTATTCAGCTTTTAGAAGTAAATATTCAAAGAGTAGCGCGATTCCGTTGTTTTGATGAGTCCCCATACTGACAATATTACAGTCATTACAGCACAGCCAAATACATCACCAATATTAGTATCAATTTCAGTATCGAAAATCTACTTAACCATCAATTAGAGACTTCCCAATCCCGGGACAGACCGTTATCTCGTTTTTCAAAACTGTAAAACGACAAAACGGTCAATGGTTTGTTTACAGTTGTGTTTTTGAAGAGATGCACAAACGGTAAAACGAAATAACGGTATGTATCGGGATTCTTCCCTCCCTCAATATTCCAGAAAACTCTTCGTCACCAGACATCGTTGAAAGGGGAAGGGGGGGGGTGGAGGGTGATAACTTATTCGCCGACGGACCATCCTTGCTAAAAGGACACCCGGCATCGGAAAGTCAAAATCAAAAACGGAGTGGGATAGACCTCACACCATCTTCCTATGATGGACAATAATCGAACATTAAGGGGCGCACTTCATACCAGTGTACCGTGAATTTAGGAATCTATGAAATACGGACACATTGGTAGTATTGCACATGCCTAAGGGGTGATGATGAGGAGAGCGACCGGTCACGTGAGAGGGTTTAATCAAGGATTCCGATTTTCTTAAGAGTCCGATTTTCATATGACACCGATGCATGTTAATGGGGCAAACGGGGGTGTCACACCCCAACCCATTCGCACCCACAGTGACTTGTAATAATCATACACTTGACTTGAAAATACAGTACGTTAATTTTATTTACCTAGCAATTGTTACTCTGTGTAGTTTCAAACCATTGCAAACACAAACAAAACCGATTACCATAGGCAATCATTTAAAAAAAAAAAAATTACCAGTTACTTCCTGAATGAAATGTCAGTGCGCCCTCTTTTGTTTTGTTTTCATTTTCAGATTTGTTATCGAGTAAAACCTCACACACGTTATACCGCTGGATTTTCACATCCTTTCCATCCGATTGATTTCAAGCCGCACATTTACTCTTGAATGCCATTATTCCCATTTTAGAAGTAATATCAGCATCAACATACAATGTAAGAAGTTGAAGAGCATCTAGGACGATTCCGATGTTTCAACAAGTCCTTATATTGTCCATTTTCATCAAAAACTCGATGATGACATTTTTAAGTTTCAATTCAAATACATGTTAATCTACTAAACCATGTAAACTGTGCAGGGAAAAGGGGTGTGGATAAACATTTTTTGTACAGTCTTTTTTTATGTTCGCCTCATACCAAAAACAAAATATAAACCGTATATAATAAGTCGATTTTATTGTACACAAATGTGCACTTTTGTGTACAAATTTAATGAATTACTGCAAAACATGTGCATACGTTACTAACGTTTGCAAAGGTACTTATGTATAAGGCGTGACGTATCTAGTGGGCTTCTTTTAGAATCGTGCTGTACGTAATATAAGTAAACATCGACTGATTTGTCCTGACTTCAGTTCACGTCAGACTGAGAGTAACTATGCATGCTTTGAATAAACTCACTGTCTTCATAGCAACCTTTTTGATAGGAATTTTTACACAACTAGCGTCTGAGTAATCCTAAATAGTGTTAACAAAAACTAAGTGGCTTTTCAAAACATATTTAAATTAAAAAACGAGGTTTCCCAACCGGATGTGTTTTGATGGAAGCCCTACAGATAAAAAACTTAAAAAGTTCAAGTTAAGAAAATGTGGTAAAAATGGATCAAATTTAAGTCTTGAAAAATACTTCCGAAATCTTCAAACCAGTGTCATCCCTATTCCGCTCATCAGCGATGCCACGATGTTTATTTGAATTTAAAGAAAAGTTTTTTCCTTCTCAAATCAAGATGTTGTCGACAGTGTAAATTGTTATAAATTTGCTTTAATACAAAGTTACACGATGTGTACACTAGCGCATTAAACGTTACTCTGAAATATGACTGAGTAATGATATTGTATTACAAGAAAATATCTTGATATAATTTTACGGCTACTAATTTTTTTGTCTTTTTCTTTTCTTTGTAGTTATATAGTATTACAAGAAAATAACTTGATATAATTTTTCGGGTATTACTTTATTATTTGTTTCTTTTGTATTGTTAAAAATCCACTGTTAAGTTTAACGATTACTCAATTCAACTAAAATGGGACCTTTATGTATATATCTGAGAAAAAAGTTTATAACACAGTATATAATTTGTGTGTATCCCTGTTGAGTTTTCTTTCGATTTGAAGTTAAAAACCCAAACATCAAAGTGGGACATTAGGTAACACAGTGAAGTATTAGTATCCCGTAAAATCATTGGTATGAGCACATCGTCCATGATTTGCACTGAAATTTAAAATTACAGAAGAATGTTTCCATAATTCTAGAATTTTTTTCATATAATTGATTAGATTTGCTTAATATCGCGCCCGCACCGGGCGATGATTGGCTGAGCTGACATGTGAGCGATTATCGCATTCATCTAGTTATCGTCAAACTCAGGCTTGATGGTGAAATTCTCGTAGACAGTCGGTGACAAGTAATCCTGAAAAATCAAGGTTATAACGTACTAAAATGCATCATTGAGAACACCAAGTAATAACCCTTCAATTAGGAAAATAAAACTTAAAGTTA